TTGTCTCACACCAGCGACTACCCGGATAGGGTCGGACAAGGCTCCGTTATGCAGAACTCTGCACGTGAATGCCTCATACTGCGCTTCGATGAGGTTGACGATTTTATCCGGGACTCCCTTGCGTCTCAGGGCGCCCCACAGATTCTCGTGATTGAGACGGTCGAAAGCTTTTTCGTAGTCAATGAATACTAAATAAAGGGACTCTTGGAATTCATTGACCTGCTCCAGGATGATGCGGAGCGTGACAATATGGTCCACACAAGATCTTCCGGCACGGAATCCTGCCTGCTGCCGTCGGAGAGTCGCGTCTATCCGATTCAGGATAACTTTGCACAGAACTTTGAGAACAATACACAGTAAGATGATGCCTCGCCAATTGTCGCACACAGTCAGATCCCCCTTCTTTGGGACCTTCACTAAGATGCCCTGCATCCAGTCGGCCGGAAAAGTCGCGGTGTCCCAGATATTACAGAATAGTTGATGCAACATTTGTGCGGATAGCATGGGGTCAGCTTTGCGCATCTCTGCTTATATGCGATCGACACCTGGAGCCTTGTTGGATTTCATGCTTCGGATAGCTGCTTCAATCTCCTGCAGTGATGGGGCCTCGGAATTGACGCGAGTGATGCGCCGCACCCTAGGCGGATCATGCCGAGATGTTGATGGCTGGTTGGCCGTCGAAACTTGAAGAAGTTGTTCGAAGTGCTCAAACTAGCGTTTCAGCTGGTCAGTGGGGTCGGTAAGCAACTGTCCAGTCGTGTCCTTCACTGGCATCCTCGGGTTCATCCTTGCTCCACTCAGGCGTCGTGAGATATCGTAGAGGAGGCCAGTGTTTGCGGCTTTCTCCCCTTCGTCGGCCAGGGAGTTTGCCCACGCTCGTTTATCCCGTCTGCAAGAGCGCTTGACTTCCTTCTCTAGAGCCGAGTACCGTTGACGGGCTTCGTTCTTGGCTCCTCTGGTTCTCGCCCGCTCTATCGCGGCTTTTGCTTCTCTACGGTCCTCAATCTTCCGCCAGGTTTCATCTGTGATCCACTCTTTCCTCTGGGTGCGCAGCTCACCCAAGTTGTTCTCGCTTGTTTCTATAAAGGCATTCTTGATGGCCGTCCATTGTTCTTCTACGCTGCCACCTTCTGAAACGTCCGCAGCTCGAGTCTCAAGTTCTTCAACAAAATACCTTTTTACCGCTGGATCTTCAAGTCGGCGTGTGTTGAACCACCGCCCGAGTCTCTCCTCCCGTCGCTGGATCCGCGCCATGCGTAGGCGGATTGCGCCGATTAGAAGGTGATGGTCAGACGCGATGTCGGCACTGCGTTTATTCCGGACATCAAGAAGGCTCCGTCTCCATTTTCGACTGATGCAGATGTGGTCGATCTGATTTTTGGTATGTCCATCACGGGAAACCCATATGACTTTGTGCACTGGCCGATGGGGGAAGAGCGAGCCCCCGATCACCATGTCGTTATTGCCACAAAATTCTGCAAACAGCTCACCGTTCTCGCTCATTCAGTCCGTGTTGTCGGAGCCGATCTTCGCATTGAAGTCGCCAGTGTAGATCTTGATGTCATCCTTTGGAACCTTATCCACGATGGCAACGGGTTTATATCAAAATACTAGCCAACACCCAACCGGTGGATGTAAGATTCGCTTACAATTATGTGGGATTCATCATCAGAGGATGTAAGTGGAGAACGCATGAACCGAGGATGCGATATACCTAGCTTCGGTCCAATGCAAGAAAATTGGAGACCGAAAAATGTAGAGTGTATTAGTGAGGTAAATTAATTATGTCGAAAAAAATAAGAAAAAGGTTGCCGACTGGACAAGAACAACGAACGTTGCGATTATCAGACCTGTGCTTTCTCCACTGCTCTCTCCATGCTTCTGAATATGGATAGCCTAAAAGCAAACAAGAAGCGCTCATTTCCTCTCACACTCGACTTCGTATGCTTTTTCTGCTGGAGAGATTCGAGGCAAGGATGTGCGTTGTTCTACCATGTCATACATAAAAATCAAGGCAAATGCTTGCTTGTGTAGGTGAAAGCACAGACAGAACACGAAATAAAAAAGGCAAAAAACCATTACATCGCCTGCAAGGTCAACTTCTAACATTCGTTGCGATGTTCATGAACAGAGGATGATAGGAAATTAAACTAACATTCATTGTAATAGATTTTTGGTTTGCGTGAAGGTTGCTAGTTGTTTGATCTCATGATTTAAATTGATCGCATTGACAAGACCTACGATTAGAACTAAAAAAAAATTGATTTAAATCTTGTGTGAAAATTCTGAAAATCGACTTGAAAACATTTTTTAATTATTTCTTATTATTTTATTAGCGAGATTTTTAGCACAATGACTAATTCATCTCGTCATCTCGAAAAACATAGTTTTAATAAAAATACGTTTAAAGTTTCGCATCTGCTATACGTGGTTACAACTATACCTGCGCTGTTCAATACGAATTTGATAGGTTTTCTGTGTCTACCACGTACTTCACAACCTCTTTTCGTAACTTACAGGTACAAAATATCATTATAACATCTAATGGTTTCATAAACAGAATGCGACTGAAATTTTGATTTACTGTCAAAATTTCAATCGCATGAAAAGCTGAGCTAAAATGAAGGAAATCTATCCAAATTTATTATGCTCGTCCTTCTCGGTCATTCTGGTAACTGAAACAAGCTGGGACGAAAGCGGGAAAAGTGAAGAAATCTTTGGAAATGCCTTTAATGTATTCAGAGACGACAGAAATTTTCATACAACTCAGAAGAAGTCAGACGGTGGAGTCCTTATAGCTCTTTCGGCTAATTTTAACTCAGAACTCCTCTTTACACCAAAATTTACAGAATTTGAGCATATTTGGGTGAAATCACACATAGCCGGTGAAACGCACGTGTTCGCCTCAGTGTATTTCCAACCATGCTCATAAAAGCACTTTTGAAGCCTTCTTCCAAAGTGCTGAACAAATTCTATCTGAGCTTCCTCCTGAGGTTAAAGTTAACATCTATGAAGACTTTAATCAACGCCATGCTGACTTCATTCTGGACTCTGAAAATCAATGTATCTTACTCCCAGTGTCAATTGGCAATTATTTTTAAAGAATGTAGGAAATGTCGAAATTGGTATAGACGTGTTCTGCAAAATTTTATCAGAAATAATTTCGGAAGAAATTCCTTTGAAGAAAAAAAAGACGCAACAGAAACTCACAAAATCCAGTCTGGTATAACAGACAAATAAAAAACTTGAAAAATTGGAAGCAAAATGCACATAAAATTTATAAAAAAAACACAATAGTAGTAATAATTTATTAATTTATTTGGATATATGCGATCAACTGAATTTAGCTATCAGTACTGCATTTGAAGAATTTAATGCAAACACAGAACATGAAATAAAATCCTGTCCAAAGAATTTCTTTTATTACGTAAAAACCAAATTAAAATCTGACAATTTTCCTTCAATAATGCATCTTGACGAAAATGTCGGTGATAGCTCGGAAAAAAAACTGCTATCTATTTGCAAATTTTTTTCAAGAAATCTATACGACATTTTCTGAAGAAGATTTTGCGACCGCGATTATTTTGTATTTTTTCCAGAGTTTTCGAGGGACATTGGCCTCGATCGACTTCAAGTGCAGGTTATTTTTCAGGCTTTAAAAAATTTAGATGCCTCAAAAGGTCCTGTACCTGACGGCATCCCTCCAGTATTTATTAAATGTCTAGCAATGGAGCTCACTGCTCCATTGTTTTGGCTTTTTAATGTCCCTGGAATTTGGAACCTTTCCAAAAATTTGGAAAAGCCCATTCCTAGTGCATATCTTTAAATCTGGCCGAAAATCGGACGTACTTAATTATCGTGGTATAGCCATTATCTCTTGCTTTCCTAAACTTTTCGAGGCAATTGTCAACGAAAAATTATTTCTACAAATTAAAAACAGAATTACTGACATGCAATACGGCTTTTTCAAGGGTCGCTCGACCTCGACAAATTTACTTGAATTTATCGAGGAATTTATAGTCTATTCATTGAATGCAATGGATAATGGAAACCACGTAGAAGCTCTCTATACAGACTTTAGCAAGGCTTTTGACCGCATAGACATACCAATGCTACTTTTTAAATTGCAAAAAATTGGAATTGAGTCAGGGCTCATAAAATGGCTTGAATCATATTTAACTAACCGCCAACAAATAATTAAATTCAACGGAAAGAAATCGAGTCCAATTCAAGTCACTTCAGGCGTCCCCCGAGGCTCTCATTTGGGACCTCTTCTTTTTATTCTATACGTAAACGACATTTCTTTCATTCTCAAAAAAAACTTAAATTGCTTATTTATGCCGACGACATGAAGCTCTTTTTGGAAATAAGAAATGAAGAAGACATCAATATATTCCGGAATGAAATACACACATTCTACATATGGTGCAAAAAAGTTTATTAGAATTGAATGTAAAAAAATGCAACTTAATATCATTTAGTAGGAAAAGAACAACTTCATATATTTCAATTGTACTAGGAAATCAAAATGTAGAAACATGTGAAAGAGTTAGGGATTTAGGAATTATCTTAGACTCTAAACTAATTTTCATAGACCATTACAACACAATTATTCACAGGGCAAATAACATGCTAGGCTTTATCAAGTGCTTTAAATAAATAAATAAATTTAAGAAAACAAAACTGTATTCGAATATATACTAGTCTACGTTGGTTGACGAAATAAAATAAATTCTGAAAAACTTTTTTTATAGCGAAGTGAGTGCAAGTAACTCTGAATCCATCATCAAGAAAAAGTAAACAAACGAAAACACACTTTCAGCGTAACGAGTAAAAATGTAACTTAAATTCGGACTCTGCCACGAATAATATTACTTGTGTAGTTCAGTCTTAGTATTAGTCCAAAAATCAACTAGGAATTACTCACACATAAAAATACATTTGGCCGAAGCGAAGACATTTTGGCTCTTTTTCATAAAATAATACACTCGCTATTACTCCTACGTCTGTTTATTTCAACTCATCTCATTATTCGGATGGTCGACCCAAGAAACCGCCGAAATCGTCATCATCCTTCTCAATATATTCGTTCAACTTCCGGGTCAATGGGTAGGGTTCATCCGAACAATCCCCTAGATAGTCGTCCAAATCCAAAGAGAATGCATATATACCAGCCAACTGCTTTTCCTTGGCATACTTTATCTTCTCCTCGAGAGATTGCTCATTCTCATATCCTATCCACTCGCGACCTCGGTAGGTATAAGGGCACTTGCCTACGTCATCCCACAATGTTGGCCAAGGTGATCGCGAGATAAACTTCGGGCAAATTTCACAGTACCCAAGGTATCCCGCTTCGTGGGTGTATTTGCCAGCCGCTCCAGCACCCGTCGTTTGCGATCCGATGCCATTCTGTTGAGGATTGGCCAAGGTGTACGTTCTACCAAACAATGGAACACCTAGCACCATTTTATTTGGCAGACATCTGTTCGTGAGCCAATGCTGCACACCATCCTGAATGTTGATTCCACGGAAGTTGCCCAGATCGTGCGAGCGATCGGCCATGGGGCTATGGACGTCGGCAAAATTGTTCCACCAACCGCGGAGATCATATCCGATGAGATGAACAAAGTCTGCAGCCCTACAATGATTAAGCCAAATTCGAACTCTTAGATATGGGTTCCAACGAAACAACGGTATACTTACTCGCATAGATCGGCAATGTCGTAGCCAATATCAAGCCTGCTTTTATCCAACGGTACTTGAACTGTCACCTCCCAATCTTTACCGATCTTCTGGAAGGCTCGCTTCAATTCCTCCACCAAGTAAACCAAATTGTCTTTATCGTTTCCATTACCACCTCGTTCAGGGTTTCCCGGATATAGCCACGCAATCTCCAGTCCATCAAAACCGTACTGTTCCAAAAACTTTACCACGCTTTGTACAAACGTTTGCCTGCGCTTCCTGAAGGCAGCCATTCTGCTAAACTTCTCCCCACCATGGGCCCACCCTCCAACGGCGATCGTCGTTTTCAGTGTGGGAAAGTTTTTCTTCAGATCAACGAACCGGCCGAACCCGTTTTGTACGATGTCGATCTCACGCTGCAGTGGCTTCAGCTCGTACGTATCCTCATCGATACCAATAAAATTGTATACCACATGGGTGCAGAGGTTTCCCGGGACGTTCTCAACGCGGTATGATGCCTGTCCGGAGCGACCCTGGGACCAGGTCGTATAGTGGCAGACCAACCGCCGAGATTGCGCTGTTAAAGGAAAAATCAAGTTAAAAATACGTCCTGATCATATAGTTATCAACTCTTACCATCATTGATCGCCTCAACTAGGGCAACTGTGGCACATAGTGCTACTGTAAACAACAACACACTATCTGTTGAAAAGAGAGAATAGGTTCAAGGTCAATATCATTCCACTATTTCCACATAACAGCGATGTATACAACATGGGATTTCCCCTTTCAGGTCATAAAATTTTATTTGCAAACAGGTCGATTCTTCACACTCCTTTTTCGCCTGACTACGGTGTATCGGTTAACAGCCGGTTTCCGTTTGTAAACAAATGCTGCTACCTACCTAATTAACCGCACCGAACGAGATTAAGACGAGAGATAGGAAAGACACTTACCCTTAAGTTCCATGCTGTCTCATGGAGAATCCAACGAAAACTGTGATCGCAGGCGATCGATGCGGACAGTTTTATGTGAGTCTCTCTTTCGTTTAGAGAGGATTGGGATAGCTTTCGCAAAGAGAGTGAATATGCGAACTTATCTCTGAGATTGATTTAACATTTGAGAGCGAAAAGACTGAAGTTGAACGTTTCATTTTCTGATTATCTGGAAAATCCACGGTACTCGCGTTGACGACGACTCTGCAACTCTTCACTCTTAAGGGAAAATCCCACAAGCAACTGTCAGTCTATGTGTTGAACATGGCGGACTGTTCGTTACCCTTTCCACGGTGTCGACTACCTGTAAAAAGCTGGTAAATCTGGGGATTTCCATTCTAATCCTGAAATATCAGGGAATATCTTTATACATCAGGGAAAATCTCTGTACTTTGTTAATCCAAAATTCAACCCAAGATATATAATATGATCACCTCAATTTGTAAAATTTTACCGAATCATTTTTGAATGATTATAGGGGAAATGGCTCTAATGTTGGCCTATGGATCTAAGATTGGGCCTATCGCTAAAAATTTGCTATTTATCAATTTTATCTAGATGAACGCGTCATTGGGACGGTACTATTGAAATATTTTTGGTCGCTTTGAAAATTTAGTCGATTGCTGAATTTATCTATGGGGCCAAATTAGGGGCATTTAGGTCGACATTACATCCATTTCCCCTATGTGCAAACAAGGTGCAAACTGTGAAAATTCATCTCATGTGAAGGTGATATTTTTTGTTATAATTATCATCTTGTAAGTCGTAGTAATTTGCTAAGATTTATTTTTAGTAATAAATTAGTTTTCGACACACTTTGTACGGCACATTTTAATATAAATAAAATCACATTTTTATCACACGGTTCGCTAATGGCCACGTCACTAGAGAATCTTTTTTAGTTTCTTCGTAGTACTTGTGGATTACTCTGGTCAGTGGATACGGTTTCCCGCAGCGTCCACGATAATCGTCCAAATCGAGCGAGAAAGCAAATACTCCAGCCAGGCGATTTTTTACCGCCCAGTCAATTTTCGCTCTCAACGATCGTTCATCCTCGTAGCCAATCCACTCGACACTGTCGAAGGCATACGGACACTGTGCCACTTCGTCCCATTTATTGTTCATATTGGGAAGTATTGTGCAGATTTCACAATACCCTAGGTATCCGGGTTCGTTGGTGTACTCTCCAGCAGATCCTGCCCCAATTGTTGTTGCTCCGACGGCGTTGTCCTCCGGGGTGGATAGAAGATACGTCCTGCCGAACAGGGGGACACCGAGAACAACTTTGCTGGCAGGACAACCCCCACGTAACCACTGGTTGACTCCGTTTTGAACGTTCAATCCTTCGAAGTTACCTTCGTCGTGTGCACGGTCTGCCATCGGGCTATGCACGTCCGCAAAATTATTCCACCAACCGCGTAGATCGTAGCCAATTACGTGGATAAAGTCCGCTGCCCTGATGAACATTGTAATAATTAGAAGTGATCGGTTAATCAGAAATCATTAGCATATACTTACTCGCATAGGGCATCAATTTGGTACCCGACATCGATCCGTGAACGATCCGCTGGAACTTGCACGCTGACCTCCCAACCTCGCGTGGCATCCGTAAATGCCTTCTGCAGCTCTCGAATCAAATAGTAGAAATTATCCTTATCATTGACGTTTCCACCGCGTTCGAAGTTCCCTGGGTACATCCAAACCACCTCCAACCCATCGAACCCATACTTGTGCAGAAACTTTACCACACTAGCCACAAATCTTTTTCTTCGTTCACGAGTTTCAGTCATCTTGCTAAACTTCTCTCCACCATGACCCCAACCACCGATGGCGACCAGCAGTTTCAAGTTCGGAAACTTATCCTTCAGCGCCGCAAACCGACGGAACCCATTTTCTCCTATATCGAAATCCGGTTGCATCGAAGTCACCTCGTACGTTTTCTCGTGTATGGCCACAAAGTTGTACACCACATGTGAACAAAGGTCTCCGGGAATGTCCTCGATCGTGTAGGCTCCATCGTTCTGCCTCGTACGGGACCACGTCGTGTAGTGGCAGATGAATCTTCTTCCCTCGGAGCTACTGTCGACGAGCCCTTCTGCAGAGAAAAACAGCAACGCCAGAGCCGAGAGTGCCACTACAAGAGAAGTAGGTGATCATAAATTAAGTATCTATGCAATGCTATCGATCATGAGAACAGATTCCATAAAAATTGTAACCCTTTGTATATCATAGCTAAAATCTGGATCTATGTAGTACTGAATAGTGCTGAATAGGACTTACAATATTTGCTGGACATGATGATGCTGCATCGGTCGCGATCAAACCACAACTGAACGTGCGATGTGCCACTACCGGTCTAGTCTTTCTTGAATGAGCTGTAGATGCGATGAGCTGGAAAAACTGGATGTGCGAAACTGGAAATGATAAGCACTGCAATTGTAGCTATGGTGCAAATAGGAGTGCGATCTTGATGGGATTTTCCAAGCTTTCGGAAATTTTCAAGCTTTCGGGACTTTATTTGTATGTGCTTGTCCATCATAATGTTTAACCGGTAATGCTGGTAGAACGCGAAATTGTGAAATGCCTCGATGAACGCACGTAAGTAAATGCAGTGAAAGTGTTTTACCCAGGAAATCCTTGTTGCAACCCTTAACCGTTCAGAATATGGTGCTTACATGTGGTAAATGTGCTTGAAATTGTAATGGAATTTTTACTTATATTCAGATTTTTTTTTAAATAATTGTTGTTTGTTTAAACCGGAGTCTGAGTTGATCGCATTTCATCCAACTCCACCGCCGGCTATAGGGGAACTAATTGATTCTCTTTTTAGGACGATTACAATGAGTAAGCATTAATTAGGGTATATGTCGCTAACCTCGATCTAATATGAAGCCTTCAATTACATGTTATGCTCTATCTTATGTAATAATTGAGCTGCAGTCAATATTTCACTGCCAACAAGCAAGTTTAGATATTCCTATTACTTGCACATTATTTAGGCATGACTGAAAAATGTAAAACTCACCATTTTAACATGGAAACATAGCAGGTATGTGGATGTAATGTCGGTTTACTGTACTCAAATTCAGGGCTGATAGCAGTGTTAAGGAATAAAAATAGTGAATTAGTGATTAAAATCATTTCAAAAAGTGACTAAAAAGTGAACAAAATCATTTTAAAAAGGTACCAAAATGTGACGTAAACATTATCCGAAAACTTTCAAAAATAGAATCATGCAAATTGATTTGTCAGTCATCCAAAAAGGTAGGCATCGATTTCTTATCGGTACGCATTCGTCAAAAGTTAATATTGCAAGATCTTGCACAACTAAATTAAAAACTAAAAACACTGTGTAACAAGACCTTCAATAACAGAGATATATTACCATATTTGCAATTCTTATGGTCTCCTGAATTAAAGTCTAGAATAAATCTATTCTCTAACACGTCACGATTTTTATAGATGAACTATGATGATCTTTATGCGATCTGCGAACTTGCATCACGAAGGTGCTCTGCGTTTGCTTAGTTACCTAATAAGAAGACATTGCCTAATTATTAGAACTATTTCCGAAATGAGGAATGGAACGTCGAGATAGCGTTTTAAAATATTCCACAGAAATTATATTGATACCCAGATCTAATTTTTGAATTACTTAAAAAAAGATAATTCTTCTACAACAGGAGTTGCTATTCATTCTGCTGGACCGAACAAGGCTAAATGTGTCATTAGGTCGACTGTGAGAATGTGCCATTATAAAGGTTGAACCCAAAAAAATCCGCAAGAAAATCTTGTTGGGGGTTTCAAATGCGTTTTATTTTTCAGTTATACATTTGTAAGTATTATGCTTATTTTAAGACCATTGTTTAAGTCTTCCTTCTTACCATAGGCTATTTCTCAAATTTTTCTCCGCACAAGGCCCATCATCTTTTGCACGAGCCCTGTTCCCACTTGTTTGGCTGCCAAAATTCCATTTCCTCTTGAAATCTTTCAGGCCAATTGCAGTTCCACCCTTTTTCTTCAATATGTGCTTCACAATTGACCAGTATTCCTCAATTGGCCTTAGTTCCGGAGAGTATTGGCCGGAGTCATCACCTGGGAACCACTGTGACCCCATTTTCGCTGTACTACTGTTTGGTGGAATTTGAGTAGTGGCAGCTTGCCAAGTTCGGCCAGAATAGGCAATCCACCTCATATTGCTCCAGAAAAGGCAGTATTCTTTTCCGTAGGCACTCCTCCTGGTAAATCTGTTGGTTCATGGTCCCAGCTTTTAATCGCACAACTGCAGATTGCTTGCCAGAGAAGGAACTTTTTGGGGAATTTCAATTTCTTTTTGATTTTTTCACACCACTGCGTCCTAGCAAGAAGTACGGTCGACTTGTTACGCGCTCCGTTAATTTGGAAGTTTTCTCGCTATTATCTGACGTAAATAATCAGTTTTTCTCGCTTAGTGATTCCTGGCATAATTCCCGATAAATTTATCAAAAAGTGAGTTTTTTTCTGAGAAGAAAGTGTGTTCTCGGCATCATCGAAAATTGTTTTTGCGATTGGCAATTCGCCAATCATTTTGCGCACCATCGGTGCGTGGTCACGCATACCTGTGCACACGGATCATCGTCATCGAGTGTCAGCATCTGCCTCCACATTCAAACCGCTCATCCATCATCGTGTGTGCAGCTGAGTGCCGAGCTTCATACAAGCACACATCAACGAAGACCGCCCGCACACGCGGATCGAAGATCATCAAAGCTGCGCGTCGCTCCGCTGCTGCTGTGTAAACGCTCGGTGATAGTAGTATAGGATTATCAGATAAGTTTTTGTTCTTGTTTCTTTCTTTCTCCCATCAGTTAAATTTTAAGTTTGTGTTTCTGTGTTTGTATTTTTTTTTTTCTCGTGTATTGTTTCCGAGTAATTTTGATTATCGTTGCAGTGGTAGAGCGTTTTTCGCTCCCACTAGTACGGCAAAATGGACATTTTGTCGGAAGACGAAATGGACGTTTTGTCGGAAGATGACACCACTTTGCCACGCGATAGCAAGAAGGGTCGAAAACGTCTGTCATCCCAGAAATCAGATGATGCCATCCCTGCTTCGTCATCTCAGTCTGGTAATGGACAGGGACAGATAAGCCCCCGATCGCGAGCCTACCCAGAAGACTCGACTGGCCCATGGGTTGTTTACTTTCAGCCCAAAAAGAAACCTTTGAATGTAATGCAAATTACTAATGATCTGACGAAGCGGTTCTCGGCCGTGACCGAAATCTCGAAAGTGAGGTACAATAAACTTCGCGTTGTCGTCTCTAACCTGAAACAAGCTAACGAGATTGCTGCCTCCCAGCTCTTTACACTCGAGTATAGAGTGTACATCCCTGCTCGTAATGTGGAGATCGAAGGTGTGGTCACCGAAGCGAGTCTGACCCCCGAGATCTTGGCGAAGCAAGCGGTTGGCCGTTTCAAGAACCCCTTGCTTCCCACGGTTGAGATACTGGAAGTCCAGAAGCTGAACTCAGTATCTTTCAGCGAGGGTAAAAAGAGCTTTACCCCCACAGACTCGTTTCGGGTGACCTTTTCTGGTTCAGCCCTTTTTCACTACATCGAGTTAGGAAAACTTCGGCTACCTGTGCGTTTGTTTGTTCCTCGGGTCATGAACTGCCAAAACTGCAAACAGTTGGGACATACGGCCTCTCACTGTGGCAGCAAGGCACGCTGTTCCAAATGCGGGGAGAAGCACGAGGATGGCGCCTGCACAGTCACTGCACCAAAATGCGTGTACTGTAAGGGAACACCTCATGGTCTCTCGTCGTGCCCGGCGTACAAACAACGCGGGGAGAAACTAGAACGCTCTCTTAAGGAGCGTTCCAGGCAGTCTTTTGCAGCAATGCTAAAGACAGCAACACCATCAACCAACGACAAAAATCCCTTTGCTGTTTTGTCTGATGACGAGTCTGACTCTGACTTGGCTGAGGAGGGAGTTTCTTTCAGTTTTCCGGAAGGTTCTGCACGGAAACGAAAACGCATCCGTTCGCGGAGAGTTGCAGATAAGGAACCCCAAATCAGCTTGCCCAAATCAAGGAGTGATGGAGAAAAGGAAGTTTCAACTCCTCCTGGTTTCCGCAGAACTGACTATAACCAGAACTTTCCATCTCTCCCGGGGACATCAAAAACCCCTGATGGCCCATTTTTAAGAACAGAAGCCCCTTCTTCATCCGGGTTGTTCTCATTTGATCAAATTGTGGACGATATTCTCAAGTACCTCAATATTTCTGATCCTCTCAAAAGAATTGTTCTGGCAATGCTTCCTTCTGTGAAGACCCTCTTGAAGCAATTGACATTGAAGTGGCCCCTCATTGCAGCAATCATTTCCTTCGATGGATAATTTTCCAAACGAGGTCGGGGATTTGATCACTGTTCTACAGTGGAATTGTCGAAGTCTCATTCCTAAATTAGATTCTTTTAAGTTTTTAGTTCACAATAATGATTGTGATGCATTTGCTGTTTGTGAAACTTGGCTCTCTTCAGATATCGATCTTTCTTTTTATGATTTTAACATTATTCGACTGGATCGTGAGGATTCGCGTGGAGGAGGAGTACTTTTGGGGATCAAAAAGTGCCATTCCTTCTATAGAGTGAATCTTCCACAATTTCCAGGTATTGAAGTTGTTGCATGTCAGGCTATTATTAAAGGTAAGAGCCTTTGTATTGCTTCTGTTTATATTCCTCCTAGAGCCGTTGTTAATCGCAAACAACTTTCAGATATCTGTTCGGTACTTCCTGCTCCACGGTTGATTATGGGAGATTTGAATTCCCACGGTACAGGCTGGGGGGAACTGTATGATGACAACCGTTCTACTTTGATATATGACCTCTGCGACAGCTTTAATATGACAATTCTTAACAATGGAGAAGTAACACGTTTGGCTGGCCCATCCTCGAATGGAAGTAGATTAGACCTCACACTTTGCTCTAACTCATTATCGTTGGATTGCACGTGGAATGTGATCCAAGATCCCCACGGTAGTGATCACTTGCCGATCAAAGTTTCAGTTGCCAGTGGGTTCAATCCGTCGGAACCCGTTAACGTCGCGTACGATCTTACCCGTAATATCGATTGGACAAAGTTCAAGAATGTGATAGAAGATGCCCTAACGTCGGTAGAAGGGCTTCCACCGTTGGAGGAATATAACTTCCTCTCCAATCTGATCTTGGACAGCGCGCTTCAAGCTCAAACTCGGCCGGTTCCAGGAACGTCTTTCCGTAGGAAACCTCCTTCCCCTTGGTGGGACCAGCAATGCACTGAGGTTTATCGTAAAAAGTCCGACGCGTTTAAGCTTTTCCGGAAACGTGGAACACCCGTACATTTCGAAGCG